TTAACCGTGTTTTCTTTAGATATATTCAGAATCTCTTTCATTTCTTTTATCATTTCTTCTTTTACTTGGGAGATTATTTCGAGTTTGAATTCCTTTAAAGCTTCTTGGAGTTGCTTGTTAGTTTCAGTAGCTATTGTGTCTGATATTTGAGGTGAATGACATATATTTTCTTCTATATACATCGCTCCTAAGGTTTCTTGAGATGGGCTGGAGGTTTGAGGTTGTAATTTGGTCTTTCATTTTGTCATTTTCCTATATTTCTGTGTTTCAAGTGTTCTTTGAAAGCTTCCTCAGAGTCTGTTGGAAATCCCCTTCTATGTTTGCAGCTCCTGAGACTCTGGCACCCCGTTACCCCAATCCACTGGGCCTGTATATCCAGTGGCCCTCTTCTGCCTGTTTAGAACTCTGTAGTTCCAGATAAGCTGGGCTCCAGGGACACTGTGCGCCCACCTGCTTGCTGGAAGCTCCACAGTTCTCCAAGTGCAGCCAGAATGGGGAGGCAGATGTAGATGCCTGAAACCCACTTATGCACTTCACTGCACCCGGAAGTCCCGAACAGTTTGGGCTTGGGGCAGAGTGCACTGAGCACTTACCGCAGGCCATGGGGCCTCTGGAACCTGAGATGCTCGCCTGCTTGCTGAGATATTCACAGTCCTCCAGACACACGGGGATGCGGATGCAGGTGCCCCAGATCCGCCCAGCCCTTCCTCTGCACCCACATGGTGCAGTGCAGGAGTCCCAAATAGGGGACTCCTATTTGGGTGTCCGGGGATAGGGTGTGCCCGCCTGCTTGCTGGAAACTCCACTGTTCTCCAAGTGCAGCCAGAATGATACCATGGAGTTTTCAACCAAAGATATATGTAAAATCCATTTTAGGACAGAATTCATAGAGTTGGTGCTGTCGTGTGAATAGTCACTCAGTGAAGGCCTTTTTTTCAGGTTTTGGACCCAGCCCATGGAGCTGGCAGAGCTTTGGAAGATGGGGTTGGAGCAATATGCATAGAAATATCCAGTAGGAGCACACTTCTGTAGGGGATTCCCAGAATCTAATCTATTCTTTCTTTGGTGATTTCTGGATATTTGGACAGTTTATCTGCACAGAATGTGAAGTTCATTATCATCCATTCTACTTAGCAATATCCTAGAAACTATGAGTACCTCTGATGATGGGTTTGAAGCTGTGAAAATGTGAGACAAAACAACTCATTTCTCTTTAAAATTTATTGTGTCAGGAATTTGCTCTAGTGAAAGAAAGCAGAGACACAAACTAGGGAGTCTTAAAGTTAAGAGAGAACAAAAGCAAGGACACAGGGCAGACAATTCAGGAAACCACTGCTACTGGGGTACGTTACATAGCTGACCTCATAGAGAAAGAATGACTGGCACAGGTCAGGTGTATGGGGCAGATGGAGAAGTGGGGAGCTGATCCCTAGTGCTCTGTGCAGTGTAGATGTTTCCTCCACAAGGGAAGACACATCTCACTCTCCTGTGACAGAAGGTGAAGCTCTGAGGACCCACTCTGCAACACACTGCTGAGCAGCAACTTTAATTAGGTCTGCAAAGACTCACAGGGCCACAGTGCCAGAAATCAACTTACTTTGAGTGGAGGATCAAATTTTACTTAAATCCCTTCAAGTAAATCAACTTTAATTTTTCCAGATCAAGCAGCCAAGCAAGCATGTGGTGCCTCCTTTTGTCAGTGTCCTCATCTGCAGGACTCAAGATATCAGCCCTGTGGCCCTGTTCCTCAGTGCTGCACCAAATCCCGAGGGCTTGATTCAGGGAGATACAGGCTTCCATTAAGTTGCATCTTACACTAAGCTGTGCCCTGGAGCAGCACAGGGGCTTGGTAGGCCCCTGGTTCCACCCCTTTCTCACAGAGCAGTGTACAGAAGCAGCAGTGAGGGACAAGCTGAGAAGAGGAGACTGCTGCCCCTTGGGCTGCTGAGCATAGGAAAGCAGCCTGACAGGGTATTGAGACCACCTCTGTCTCCACCTGCAGCTCGATTCAGAGTAGTTCCCGGCAGTAAGGAGGAGATGGAGGAAGGCACTGAGGCAGCATTTGGAGTGGGTACCTAGGAGAATGAACTGCATGCACAAGAGCAAGAGAAACCTGCACCTAAACTGCTCTCCACACCATCGAGTGCATGCTGAAGTGAAGGTGGCAGCAGACAGGAGGATCACTGGATAAGTGGATTTACTTGGAGCTGCTGGTTCTCACAGGCCAAAGGGGTGAGCAGCTAAAGGTGGGTCCAGGGGAAGAGCAGACAGCAACTGTGTAGACTGCTCCCACTTCAGGGCACTGCTGGACATAGCAGGACATTGAGTCTCTTAGTCATGAAAGGTGTCTAGGGAGAGACAGGAGAGCAGTCAGACCATGTCACCCAGTACAGCTGGGCTTCTCTGGGTGTTGTTGATATTTGTAAGCTACATCCTTACCTAGCACTAAGGTTGCCGTGTCACCCATATGCAGCCATAAACATTTTGTTTTTATGGAAAACCAGCTATCTTTGGACATTTTCTAGCTTGTACACTTGCTGCAATGTTAAAAGTCATTTGTGCTTTTTTTAGTTTTCACTACATACATTGCATTAACTGTGTTGCAGGATAAATAATTGCAGAGTGAACTTCAAATTTGATTCTACTGTAGCAAATGCTGAAGAAAGGGACTTCTACGTTTAGGGCAAGCATAATTTTTAAGAAAATGTAGTCTCCTCCAGCGTATTGTTGTCCTTTAGTTTACATGAGTAAGTAAATCATGGGAAACCAGTCTTGTTGTGATACCTTTTTCTCAGACTCTTAGGCAACCCTCTCATGTATATCAATCTTTTTTTTTTTTTTTGGTCTTTTTCGTTTTTATCGGTACCAGGGATCAAACTCACGACTGCCTGCTTGCAAGGCAGGCACTTATGCCGCTGAGATAAATCCCCAGCCCCGTATATCAATCTTTACAGACTACATACCAAGAGTTTTGTGTCTCATCTATGTTAATAAAGCAGTTAAGATAAGCAGATGATACCTCCACCAATGATAGGGAGATGACAGTTGATGATATAGTTAAGATGTGCATGGACAGAGTGGTACAAAATAGTTAAATTTTTAAATATACAGGCACAAAGGACAGAAAATAACAAGGTACAAAGTTAAAAGATAGATAACAAGAATGTGAATGAATAATAAATTTATAATAGATACACAAATAAAAAGCAAATGCATAGACAGTTGATGGGCCAGCAGAAATACGAGTGAGCCCAGATGGATACAATGATGATAGATGGAAATAGAAAAGCACACTTTGATAGACAATAGAAAGATGAATAGATAATTATATTAAAATGCTTGCCTAAATGCCTTCTGTAATATTTATTTTGTTCATAATTTTGAGATTATGAATAATTGGTTATATATCTGAACCTGTAGATTTACCGCAAGCTTAATTTGCATTTTAGGGAATCGACTCAACAGCATTTTACCATGGTCCTAATCCTTATGATCCCAAAGTTCTCTCCTAATCATTTTATATGAGATGGAGTTAGAATCCAGTCCTGGTCCAGCCTTGTCCTCAGGGACTCAGAAGAGCACAGAGAGAGCTTCAGTCCAGGTTCCTCTGTGGACAGGCTCTGGCCTCCTCTCTGGTCTTGACTCTGCTGTGGGCACCTTGTTTTTTGATGAATCCATGATCAGGTCCTTCACTGTTCCCAGGTCAACTGACAGAGGAGGACAAAAATGTTTCCTCATATGCTGACAGCAGATTGAAGAGATGTCCAAATTTATGGAGGGTAATGTAAATGTATCAATTCAGGTTGCAATACAAACAGACGCAATATTTAAGACATTCCATAAGAGTTTCTGAGACTCAGTGCTACTGACTCCAGGTCCTAATAAATACTACTCTGACAGTGCCCTATGACTGCAGGGTGTGTGACAGCAAGATGGTCTCTACCAATGAGATGCTGAGAGAGGTCCCTCCACAGTGAAATCTATCACAGTTCTCCAAGGCATTACCCTACATAGCTAAGGGTTGGAAAATGAAGAGCTCCAATAACAGGTGAACAGTCAGATCAACACACAGTGATGTCTAGCCATTCAGAGTAAATATCTCTGCATGAACACAGTTGGAAAACGCCATTCAGGATGAGATGCCTGGCATATGCATTAGAGGGGAGCAGGCAGACTTCTGGTCAACAGGGAAATAATTTTCATGGTTAAATATTTCTACACCTAAAAACTATTGAGACAGTGTGTCAGTTGCGCTGAGAACACCTGCTTAATTGAACATGCGTTGTGCAATGAACCATGAAATAGATGGTAAATGAATAAAAATCTGATTCCTTGAAAATATAACCCTGTAGGATAGGCGACATTGAAGGTCCCTAGAATCTCTGTTCCCTAAGTAGAAAAAAAAACCCTCCAGTCTTTTTTTTATTTAAAGAAAAAAAGAGAAAAAAACCCCAAAGCAGTAAAAGGGTACAAGTAGTACAGAATTTCCAGAATAGGCAGAAATCACTAGTTAATAGGTTACATGTTGTCATCTTAGAAACAGTTGTCCAAATTACAAAATTAAAACATACAAAGTGGACATTAATACAGTGAGATTGAAGAGAGTTCTGCTCAATGATCCAACAAAAACTCAGTAATATGCTTTTCTATCCTACACACTTAAATATACATGTAGTTATATCCTTTAGGCCACTTTCTTTTCCTGTCTTTCTTACAATAACAACTACACTTTTTGGGATTTATTACTCCCATAGTTCTTATTACTTTTTTTGATCACCTGGTATTGTATTTTTGCATCATATCCTATGTCTATCCTTCTGTTCTAACTGACTCTGTTTTGTTTTGTCACATTTGGTTTTATTCTTTAAAAAAAAAAAAGTAACCATCCAGTCTTTTACAAAGGTCTAGGAAGCTGGTCCCCTAGAGCTGTTTGTGCAGCGCGCCCTCTGCTGGTCCTGTGGTTCCCTGCAGAGAGGTTTATGTCTTGGCTCACACTTGCATCAAAGCACTGTGTTTCTTGCACAGTAATAGGTGGCTGTGTCCTCTGTGGTGACAGAGGTCAGCTGCAGAGAGAACTGGTTCTTGCCTGTGTCTCTGGCGATGGAAAGGCGGCTCTTAACAGACGGGTTGTATTTAGTGTTACCATCGTAGCTTATCTCCCCTAACCACTCCAGACTCTTTCCTGGAGGCTGACAGATCCAGTGCCACCAGTAATTTGTAGTTGTGATGGAGAATCCAGAGACCGTGCAGGTGATGGACAGGCTCTGCGATGGCTTCACCAGGCCAGGCCCCGACTCCTGCAGCTGCACCTGGGACAGGACACCTGGAAACAATAAAAACCAGTCAGTCACATGCTTTGGTAACCTTTCCATAGACCCATGTCTAACACTGACAGTACTCACCATGAAGGGATGCCACCAAACACAGGAAAACACCCAAAAGTTTCATCTTATAGACCACACTCCTGCCTTCCTGAGGGATCTCAGCGTTGTCTGGAGATGGAGGTGTGAGGTTTCATAAACTGGGAGCAGCTTATGAATCTAAAGTTGGAGCAGATATTTGCATATAAGGCGCACACTTTGTATATGAGGGGGATATTGAGGTCAGGCTCTGTCTACTCCTTTTGTGCTACTGAGTGGAGCCTCTTGTTCTGAATTTCAGCTGGATTTGAGTCTGTGATAATTTAAATTTAGAGGAGTGATCAGAGCAGGGTAATGATGACCCCGTCTTCCTGATCGCAGGAATGGATTCCTCCCGACCCTTCTCCCTTCGTGTACACCAGTCCAATTCTCTTCCTGTCCAAGCTCTGGTACTGGTTCTCAGGACCAAATTGAGCACAGCTCCCTCTATGTCTCCTGGTCTCTCTCCTACAGTTCCATTCATGCTGCATGACACGTTCCTTCACTGTCATTTCTGTTGTCAGGAGAGGTCCACCTGCCTCCTGCTCTAAGATATCCTGTGATCCAAGTCCCACCTGAGCAGAGCCAGAAGAAACTGGAAATAAGGCTGTGAGTTCTGTGCTTACTTCACAGAAGTTTCTAATCATATGGGAAGAGAAGGAGGCCATCTGTGTTAGATTTCCTCTCTCCAAACGATCTTGTGGAGCAACTTGGTGACCATTGCCCGGCTAGATTCACCTTCTCCTCTTGTTTTCTGGGTGGTATTTCTATATTACAAGTATTTAATTCATGTTAATTTTCTGTTTTCAACAATTATGTATTATGGACCCATGTGCACTATAACAATGCCCCTTATATTGTATCCATTTCCTTTTTGGATGGTTTTCTGAAAGACAGTGTAATTTTATTTTCTAAGATATGAGGTTGACTTTTAACTTGCTAGGTGGCAAAGGGTGGCCTGAAACGTGTTGTGATATTGCTACCTCATCCAACTAAGGGTCAGAATTACAGGATTGCGACACCAAAACACACATTTGCTTTGCTTTCTTCCCTGAGAATGGATTTTATTACAAGTTCACCTTAGTCTTGACCTTGTGATTCTGTTTCTTCAGACCTTCATTAACTTGCCATATGCATATGTACCAGCATTCCTGCTTTGTGATCCAATTTTTCTTTTTTTAATCACCCTTAGAAACATAGTTTCCCACCACATTGAGTTTCCACTGTTTTTAATTGTTTTGTTCCATGTTTCTACTCCAGTTTTAACATCTTCTAGATAGATAACTAGTCTGATAATGATATTCTTCTCTGTGGATGGAAAGTTGAGGTCCATTTAATCAATTCGTTGCTTGCAAACTGATAAAGCTCCCCACATTCTACAGTTAGGTGGCCTAACTGAATCCACATTCTTTTCAGTTGGTTTTCTGAAAGACAGTGTCATTTTACAATCCAGGATATGAGGTTTACTTTTCACTCATTAGGAGCAAGGGCTGACCTCAAATATGTGCTGATGTCCTACTGAGGGTAAAAATTACAAGGTTGTGATGACATGTCTCGCACAAAACATACATTTGCTTTTCTCTCTTTTGTGAGGATGGATTTTATCAGAAGTTGACCTTAGTCTTGATTTTGTGATTGTATTTCTTCAGAATTCCATTTTCTGGCAGTGTGCATATGGACTAACACTCCTGCTTTGTGACCCAATTCTTTTTTAATTGTCCTTATATATGTAGTCCAGACCACACTGAAACTTTTATTTTCTTAATTTTTTTGTTCTGTATTTCTACTCCAGTTTTAACATCTTCTATATAAAGGTCCAACCTGAAGATGATATTATTCTCTGTGGAAGGAGAGTTGAGGTCTGTTTAATGAATTTCTTGCTTGCAAACTGAAAAAGCTCACCAAATTAAACAGTTTTGAGGAAAAATCACCCACTATTAAGATGCACATAACTTCTAGAGAAAAGTATAGTGTTTGCATACTGCCTTATTCCAGCAAATTCTCATGAAGTCTTTGATCTCTCCTTTGAGAAAAAACTGAGGAAAGCTCAAAATATCGTTACCATAACCAGTACAGAGCACAGCAGACATAATTTGTGTGGGGCCTTGAGTTTCGGTCCTTCAGTGCAGGATCCACCTACAATATGTGTTGTGTCACCCTAGGAAATCTCTAGTGATTTCCCTGGGGAATTACACAAAAGGAGAGGGAGCCTCCCCATATCATGGCAAGCACCAGTGTTTGTTCCCCATTCAGGCAGACATTTATCCATGGGAGTGAGCTTGGGGATATGAGTGGGATGAAACCCCAGGACCTCTCTCAAGTGTAAACTCTGGAGCTTGTTCACCTGCACAGGTCCTCTGTGGTCAGTCTGGTGCTCCCTGTGTGAGACCTGCATCTAAGACATTCATGTCTTCTTCTTTCCTGTGCTTGAGTTGGTTCCCTGTGTTCTTTGTGGTTTTCCTTAAAACCATGACGTAATGTTTTTTCTAGCTCATTGATCTATGTCTCCATTTTTATTGCTCTACCCAAATAGAATGCTGTCCATAGTATGGAGGAGGATATTTGGCCAGAGAAAATGACACCATGGGAATGGGTTCCTCAGTCTCCTCTCAAACAGACATAACCAGAGGTCACACACTGCTCTACCATCTTACACATGACTTTGTGTGTGTTTCTGGAAGATCTCTACAGCACAGGAAATATTTTAATGGTTCCTCTCCCTGCAGAATAAAAGATATAGACAGGAGGCTACTCCAGGCCCTCTGAGCAGGGATGTGTCCCTGAGGTCACATACATTGGATTCTTCAGGTCTGCATGTGAGAAATTTGTGAACTACTTCAATTTATTCAGCGATTCTGTGCCCTTTCATTACAGGTAATAAATCTAAGAAATTATAGATCTATCATTTACATGTTATAATATGTTCTCTGAGGTAAGACCTTCATAATGACTGGTAGGGGAAATGGAAAACTGAGAGTATTAATACATACATGTCCTGCTCAGGGCCTGAGTCCTACAGCTCTCCCCAGACAGGAACCGGGTATGATCATCACACCCCGCCACATGTCACCAGCACAAGTGTTGCCATGGGAGAAAACAATGAACAGATCTCAGGGTGCCACAGTGGACCCAACAATGTCATCAGCAGAAGCATTTCACCCACTGATCCCTTGGCACACAGTCCTCACTCCCAGGTCCTCTCTGCATGGGGTTGTTCCTTGAACCAGGCTAATGCAGCAGATTCACGTGGTTCTGAGGTCACACATTCAGGCAGACCATTTTCCTGGCTCTTGAAATGCTTTTTATTATTATTTTCTTATATTAAAATGTACTTGAACATCATGACTGATTTAATCCTTCGTACACTTTGAGTAAGCTTAAAAAGACAGCAGTCCTCCCCCATGCATGTGCAGTTAGAGGGAGTGTCTGCATGATTTCTACACAGCATTGATCACGACCACCAGGAAGTATAGTCATGAGTAGATGCACCGGGCCCCACAGCCTTGCTGGTGAAGAGCAGGCTGGGGAGGAGGACTAGAGGAGGGAAGCAGGGAGCAGAGAGTGTTTGGTGGTGCCAGGGAAGTTTCCCCTGAGTCAGCAGGTGAGCAGCTTCAGTATCAGTGCTCTGTGTCTTCTGTCAGGTTCTCAGGGGAAGGTAAAATACCTACATCAATGCGTGGACAAACACATCCACATAGAAAATGTTTCTTAAACTTTAGGACCAAGGGGCTTTGCATGAACCAGGAGTGGATGATGTGGAGATGCGCCTGATGGTGGATGGAGATGTGTACTTAACAGGGGGTCAGTAATCATCAGGTATTTCTAGAAGAAACACTGAGTTACACTGTGCAATCACCTGGGTTTAAATAAGAATTCACTGAAGACCATGAAGTGCATCTTGTCATGTGCTACATGCAAAAATCACCTTGTCATGTGTTACATGCTAAAAATGCATAAACACACAGCAGTGTAGGCTTAGAGATGAGAGCTCCTATAAGTTCCAGTGTCCTGGCAGAGAGAACAATGTAGTGGAAAGAAAACAGTTCAGTTATTCTCAGCTGCTCTTCTGTTGATCCCTTGTTCTCTGTGTGTCCTGCGTGCATACTGCTGGTCCTGTGAATGCCTGCAGTGAGGTGTGTGTGTGGGTTCTTCATACCTAAGTTGGTCTGCACCCTCTCCACCTACAGTTACTGACACTTGAGGAAATCCTGAGAAATGAGACTTCAGTTCATGTCTTCCATATGTGATGCTGTCAAGTTGTCAAGTCCTCGCTCTTGTCTTGTGGTGGGAGTGGCAGATTTTAAGCCCACTTTGGATCATTTCTCTATTTTCCTGTTGAGCAGCCTCCGGTGGAAATGATTCTCGCCTTCCAGCAACTTCCCGCTTGAAGGATGCTGGTGATATACCAATCCAGTGTGAAACATCTCTTATTTCCTATACTGGAAAGGAGTGGAATGCTATGTGGCAGGTAAAGAGTGGAGGAAGCAGAGTCATGACTCCCCTTCCTGACTCCACCCCAGTTTCCTCCAGTCTTGCACCCTTGTTCCCAGCCTGACCCTGCCCTCCCACAGGGCTCTGGTACTGCTTCTGCAGGACAAAGACGAACATAGCCCTTTCCTCCTCTCCCTGACCTCTACTCTCTGGTGTCATCTGTGCTGCTGAAGAGCTCCCTTCACTACCATTAGTGCTGTTAGGAGAGATCCTCCTGCCTCCTGCTCTGAGATGTCCTGTGATCCAAGACATCCACTGACCAGAGCTCTCAGAGACTGGAGATGAGGATGTGTGTCCTGTGATTCCCTCACACAGAAGCCTCCCTGTGGGAGGAAGGAGGCTGTCTGCTCTAAGTGTCCCTTCTCCACCTGACCTTGTGTGGGTGCTGGGTGTCATTTCCTTTCTAGATTCACCTTCTCCTCTTTTTTCCTGGAGGTGATCCCTAAATTGTAAACGCTTACCTAATTACAGTTGTGTCTTTGTGAATAACTATGCACTATGGCCACTATCCTCATGATGACAATGTCCTAAAATTAAAACTTACTTCTTTATTTCCAATCTTTTTTCATCCAGAAGTGTGCATTTCTTGTTCACCATTGGTGCACCGGGGATTCAGTGCGATGTTTTCCAGTACAATACAGCAAGAAC